GCTAAATTTGATTGAAAATTAAATAATATACCAAATATGATCATAATGACAAATATGGCAATAAGGAAGAACTTCTTAAATTCATCACGAAATTGACTTACGTACGTGCTTGACCCCTACTTTCCTGAATCCTGAATGAAAAATGTCCCTAATACATTTAACAGTCTTACTAGCACACTGAGTGATAGCTGCAGGCTAAACAAATGACAGAAATAAAGGAACATAAATGTACATATAATCAAGTCATGATATTTCTCAAGTAATATTTTATAGAAGTATATTCAAATATTTAGAAAGGACATAACACCAAATAACCTAGTCGTCGCGTGTTTGTAGATAAGGAACAACTGACGTGCGAGACGTAGCGGCTAATGAATGGTTCCTAGAGTGTTGCCACTAGGTGCATGAAGAAAAAATACACACAAGAGAACTTAAAAGTTCCTTAAGTAAATAGACCAGAGAAAATTACAGCGGCCAGACTACATATATTGGGGTATCTGGCATCTGAGCTCAGTTACCCTCCTAACAATGTACGTGGACGTGCGCTACAAGTTGCTGCTTGCATCCTTGAGTGGACTAAGCTACAGAAGCCTGTAGTTTATTATCCATGCTACATTGAGTGCCTATTTCGAGGCGCGCGAGACTTTGTCGCGCCGTCCTGAAAAGTTCAACTTATTGTCACGGAAAACCTATCTCCTCCTGCAGTTTCCAAGCTACAGCAATGAGAGTTGTATCATTCGATTCGTAAAGACCATATCTATCGACCAACCCATCACTTTTTTGAATTTGTGCATGGTTCGTCATATATATGGGGGAGAAGGGGGGGAGGGGGTAAAAAAAGTGAAAAAATGAGAAAAACGCGCATAAAAAAACTATGGGGAAAATGAAAAAAGTGATGGGTTGGTTGATAGGTATGGTCTTTTTTTCGAAAAATTCATAGAAGTAAAATGTTATTATTTTTACATTTTACGTATGTATGTGAAGTTTCATGATGATCGGATAATAACTGTAGGAGTTATAGGCTACCTCGATTTAGGGTAGCAGGTCCCCTTAATACTAAAGAAAAGAAAATAAATCCTGTTGCACAGGACCAAGTTGCGTTCCATCCTGTTGCGTTCGAACCAAGAATTTCTCTTTGAAGTAGGCGCCCAGTAAGAGTGACTGGCGCGGCAATGCCCAAAGGGTCGAAAATTGAATTCACCATAGAAAGGAGACCTCGTCTCGTGAAAGGCTTTGGTGAAATGTCAATTTTCATAACAAACGCGTCGGTGGCTGTGTTCCATGCAACTCCAAGCGCTCGTTGAGTGTTTTCATCATTGAAAGCAAATTCTTCTTGTTTATGAGCATTTTCCGTCGGAGGAAAGGCGTTAGTGACGTCATTATCTGTGCACATTATTTTATGCAGACGGATGTTCGTTCGTGCGAGCAGCGCGCGAGAAGCTTCAATAACTGCGATAGCCTCGTCGACGGAATCAGTTGTGCCGAGGCCATCGTCGACGTAGAAGTTCAGAGCAATGTAGTTCTGAGCCTTTTTAATGATCTCTGATTGCTGGGTCGAATCGCAAACCCTTGTTTGAGGAAGTTTCTCGTCTTTGCCGATCTCAGCAGCTTTTCGGAGGCAGAAGGTCGCAACCGCTGGACAGGAGCAATTTCCGAAAACGTCCACTCTGGCTCGAAATTGGCATAACTTGTTGTCTGGATGATTATCTTTGAACCAAAAGAATCTCATGAGGTTTCTGTGCTGAGGTTCCACGAAAAACGAATTAAACATTTGCTCCACGTCGGCTATGAAACCTATCGGGCCTTCCCTAAAACGCGTCAGTACGGCCCGCAGCGAATTGTTCTGATCGGGTCCTTGAATGAGTTGGGCGTTGAGACTCACATTGTGGTAGCTCGCTGCGCTGTCGAAGACGATGTGTGTTTTCTTCTTTTTAGGATGTTCCACGGGAAAAACTGGTAAGAACCACGTTTTATTTGTTTCTCCTGATAATTCGCAATCCGGAACGGCTTCCACATGGCCTGATGCGAGATATTTCTCCATTACTTCCAAGCACTGCCCTAATTTTACAGGGTCCCTTCTTAGCCGTCGCAGGGTATTATTTTCTCTGCGATATACAGCTTCTTTGTTATCAGGGAATGCGAAAAATTCGTTTCTCAGAGGAAGCGGGGTTTCCAAATTGCCCGAGGCGTTTATTTTCACCTTATTAAGGGTCATGAGGAATTTGTTATCTTCGCTTGAGAGACCTGGAGCATCATCATCGTATTTTTCTATGAAAATATCGGTCTTCTCAACAGGAGAAAATGCCGGTGCAGCCGTGAAGTGGTCGTGATCGAGGACGACGGAAGTCCGTAGAGTTTTGATGCGACCGTCATTTCTGTGATGATCAAATGGGCAGATGTCGCCCACTACAGCCCACCCTAGCGATGTACGGTGAGCAAATGGAGCGACCGTCTGCTCGGTGGTAGCAGACTCGTCCAGAGGCAAGAAATGGTGCGCCAGGTGAGACAACCGTGGGTGTTTTTCCACGAGACTCCTAGTGGCGACTTCGTCCTTGGTTTGAGAAATAAATTGATTTTCCAAGAGAGAAGGCAAAGGAAATGTCTCCTTCTCCTGAATTCCTCTAATTGTTAGTCCAGTTATTACTCTACCCGTCATCAAAGATTTCTGGCCGGAGAGCGTTGTGATAGAATAAGTGTGAGTCTCAGCTTGAGCGTTGAAAAATTCAAAAACTTTTGGGGATGCAAAACTGCGGTTTGATTGTTCATCAAGGATGGCGTAAGTCCGAACCGATTGATTGGTTGTGGGGAGAGTGACTTCAACAAGAAGTGTCTTACTGCAACTTTTACCATGAAAAGATCCATCAGTGTCAGTGCAGAGAACGTTGCTTGGGCTCGATGGTTTGGTTTCCCGGTTTCTTCGCTGAAGTTCCTGATTCGGCGTTTTATCCTTCGCGTTAGGTCCGGGTGCGCGCGGATAGTGAAGAGCAGTTATGTGGTTGTCTGCTTGACAATGGTCGCATTTAAGAGCTTTCTTGCAATCTTTTGCCGAATGCTGTCCGGCGCAACGGAAACAGAGATTGTGACTGTGTACAAGGAGTCGCTTCAATTTTGCATCTGCCTGAAGGAATGCTTTGCAATCCCATGTTGCGTGGCTGTTTGACTTAGCAATGCGCACTTGTGAGGAGACTGAATGGGAGGAGACGTAGAATTTTCGGCCGTAAGGAGCGTTCGAACATTCTTATTAACAGGCTTGTCGTGAGCGGCGAATGGACGTGGATTGGCGCTACTCGGCTGATCGTCACATAGAATATTTGTTTGTTCCTGTAGGAACTGACAGAAGACGGTGAAAGGAGGATGTTCGTCTTCTTTTGCTTGGTACCGAGATTTTATCGTGCGCCATTTGTTGTTCATAAATACCGGTAATTTTTGTCTCAAGGGCTCTAAGCCAGCAGCGTAGTTCAAAGTACGCAGGTCGGGAGTGGTATTCAAATGATTTCCGACTACATTGCACAGATCGCTTAATCGTCGCAACTGTGAGGCAACCTTAGCATCAGACTCGTTGCCTTTTATGTCGGGAAACTCTGAAATCTGTCTTCGCAGGCTCCTGGCTATCTCGACATTAGAACCGAATCTTCGCTTCAACTCGCACAAGACGTCTGTAAGAACTTGTTCGGGCTCTGTGCCCACCCAGTTAAAATTTAGGGCAGGGAATAGAGCAGGCCGTCGCCGGCTGCAGAGCCGGCGTAGAGACGCGACAGAGCAGCGATAGAGCAGAAATGTCCGCTTTAGAGACGATATCGCCAGCCGCGTATCAGCGCTAATTAGCTTCTGAGTACCTGCCCAGGTGTGCTCTGACATAACACCAAATAACCTAGTCGTCGCGTGTTTGTAGATAAGGAACAACTGACGTGCGAGACGTAGCGGCTAATGAATGGTTCCTAGAGTGTTGCCACTAGGTGCATGAAGAAAAAATACACACAAGAGAACTTAATACTAAAGAAAAGAAAATAAATCCTGTTGCACAGGACAAGCTGCATTACTCTGATTCCTTGCTGGAGCACTCGAAAAAAACATTGCTTGAACGGCCTCTGATGGCTAATCAGATACTTTAATTGCACGTTTCAGCATCTGACTCTCTTGGTACAATAAATTTAGTTGTCTTGCAAAGAAGCTATTTACGCAGAATAAATAACCAAAATTTAAAATCCCCCTCGGCATAATGGCAACAACTCTGACTACTGTTGAAAGGCTTTACCAAACAACTAAGTCTCAACATAATGTACCGTTATCTTCGTGGACGTACTAGAACCCAGCAATAATAGATTTCAGTAGAATACTCATTCAGTAGTATAACGATATCATCACTTTCGGAAACGTAATATTTATTAATATGCGTTGATAAAATACATAAATCCATGCACTAAAAACACTGCAAAACATTAATGGAATGCAACAAAACTACCAACAGCCACCCACTGGCATACACGCGTCTGCAATTTGAGACGAGGTTTGGAGGTTTGTGACCGCACGTCGCTGTAACACGGGAATGAGGCTAGATAACCGCTTAACATCAATCAGCTTGTGCCATATTTATTGATGTTTACCGATTTAATTTTATGAATAAATATTTCTTCAACTGTATGACCTCAGTAATTCAGGTTAACCTTCAAAAATTGAGCAAGAAAAAATTAAATTAGATAATAGCTAACCGCAGGAGCTTAAATTTATGTGCGGAAACTTGTTTGCTTGCGGCAACACTACAAATTGTTTGTTTTTAAAGTCTTTCGAAAGAGATTCGTTGGGCAGGTGTCTACATAAAAAAATCATAAACAGAAAGCAAACCTTTAAAAACGGAGTTATACGTACCACCCTCCGGCTGCATTTCAAGTACAAAATGAAAATTTCCAGAGTTTTCTGCCGAGTACAGGTTACGCGAAACAAAAATTGAATAAGCTATGTATCTTCCTCACCGGTGAAGAACCAATTCCACTTTTTCTCACCTTCAACGAAGAGCTGCTCGTCTTCATTGGACAGAGAAGTAAGGTCTGGGACGGACTGGCCTTCGCTGTAGGGCATTTCCTGACAGCGCAGCCTAGCATCGGCCTGTGCTAGAAGTTCATTCACGAACAAGTAGCAGATGCCAGAGGTCGAGTCTTCCTCCCACCCCTCGCCACACGAGCCAGAGTCTGGAGCTGGAGTGGTGGTAGTGACCGGACCGAGGGGAGTCGTCGAGTAGCCACGTTTACACACAAACGGTTGAGCTTCTGAGCACGTCATGTCGTTCCAAAATCCTTCCTCAATTTTCATTTCGACACAATTTCCATCTCCGCCGGATGGCTCTCCTGGAAGATATACCATTTATATTATTGCTTAGCGCCGACCATATCATAGCATAACATACACCGACATAGTTGACCTAGTGATTTCACACGTATATTATATTTATGTAGACATTTCTGTTTCACAAATCAAAGTATGTTACTTAAATTAATATACACATGTAGCTTATCAGTGTATCGAAAACTCAATCATTCACGCTACTCCAAATCAAATTGACGTAAGAATAATTAACATCAATGATTGTGACTATTAACCCCAGTTAACAGTTAAGTAAGTACCCATGTTCCAGTTTTGAATGACGACAGCATTGCCGTCGGACCATTCAAACACTCCATCTACACGACGATCATTCAGACCAATCCAGCTGGTGTCGTCCAGATGATCTGTTGAGTTAATGAGAGGATATAACGAGAAACCAGATTTGCATAAATAATCCAATCAATTTACAGGTAGAATTATAAACAGTGTACGGAACGAAATCGTGTCAATCACAATCGCTTCAAAAGACTTATATTATGCAAAAAGACGCATAACTTTTATCAGATATTTTCCATATGTACTCACTGTGGACGGTGTCTTGCTCTATCCAAGAATTAATTGAAGCAAGATGTCCTCCCGCAGTCTGGCAGAAAGATTCAGCGGAGCTCCAAGTCATCTCATTGCTGGATACAAGGTAGCAAAAGTCTTGATCCAAAACCCAGCCATCTGGGCAGTACTGTTCCACTACACAGGAAAGAAAACAGCGAACGGTAACTGCACCGAGGTATACCCTAAAATTTTCGGATTTGGCTTTTCTGGTATTTAGTATCGTCTTAAAGCTGACATTCTGCCCTATACAATACCACTGCGATCCCTCTACGTGAATTTTTACTTACATGACGGCTCTTTAAAGGGGGGCGGGTGGGGGAGTTCCTTCACTAATTAGATGCAAGGTAATTAGCTGCTGAGCATTTTAAATATAGTTTCTACTCGAGTTGTGCTGCAGTTACATGCTTAGTCTCATCTTAAAGCTGACATTCTGAGCTTTTCAACGATACTACTGCGATTGCTGTAAGTGAATTTTTACGTACACGGCTGCGATTTAAAGGGGGGCGGGTGGTGGATTACCTTCACAAAATAGATGACAGGTAATTCACTCGCTAAGACTACATATATTGGTGTATCTGGCATCAAGCCTTAGTCACCCTGTTCGCTTCGTACGGAGAGGTGTGCTGCAAGTTGCTGCTAGCATCCCTGAGTGGAATTCGGCCACAGAAGCCTGAAGTTTGGTCTTTATGCTACATTGAGTGACTATTTCAAGGCGCGCGGAACTTTGTCGCGCCGTCCTGAAAAGTTCAACTTTTTGTCACGGAAAACCTATCTCCTCCTGGAGTTTTGAAGCTACAGCGATGAGACATATACCATTCTATTTGTAAAGACCATACCTATCGAGTAACGAAGCCCTTTTTTTTAGATTTTTGCATAGTTTGGATTCAAAATGGGGGGAAGGGGGGGGGAATGAGAAAAAATGAAACAAAAATCAAAAATCGGGCTTCGTTACTCGATTGGTATGGTTTTTACAAATAGAATGGTATATGTATAATCGCTGTAGCTTCAAAACCCTAGGAGGAGATAGATTTCTACAGTACCCCCTCTTTGTCCGTTTTCTATGAATTTCACGTTTTTTATCAATTTTTCTAATAAAAATCACACGAACAAAAAGGTCTTAGAATTCTGTTTTACATATGTGTACCAAGTTTCAGAGTGATCCGTCCGTAAACAAAAAAGTTTTTCCGGAGGGTATGCCTCCCCCTTATTACATTGGCCCAAGATAAGTTAACTGAGAAATAGGTACTCTGTGTCGTTAACTCGAAAGTTTGTAATCGCACTACCGACGACAATAACAAACTTACTCTGTTGCTTAACGTAATTTTTTCCTAAGAATCTAACTTGTGGAAACTTTTTCGGTCAATCAATTGCAAAGCGTTATGACAATTACCACACAACCTCTCGATTTTACCGTAGTAGAATTCCAACCAGTGAGCCCCAAAGTTTTTCACGCTTAGCGAATAAGCAACTTGTATGAATGAAAACTACTAAAGAAATGACATTTGAATTAAATGTATCCTTTGAAGCCCAATCGAACATAATTTTGAAACATGTACTTTGTACACCAAGTAAGGCATAAAGAAGATACGATTGAAAATAAGCTCCACGAGTATACGCTGGTCTATATCGAACAGTTGTTACAACCCAGTTAAAATTTTGAGCCGAGACCGGCGCCGGGTTTAGCCGGGCTGGTCGCGCTTTAGCAGGATGGAGCCGTGAATTTATAACCGGCCATCTATCCCTAAAACTGCGCTGTGCCATGGCTGATATAGAGACAAAATTCTAGCAGCTTGGCAGGGACGGAACTCTGCGCTGTTTTAGCGCTGGTACTTGGGATTGCCCGGCAGCGAGATGAACAGAGCAGCTATGCAGGCCGTGCATGGGGCGGGGGGGTTTGAGAGAGGGAGGAGGGGTAGGAGTTGGAAGCAGTGGCGGGAGAATGAACTTAGTCCTTCATCTAGTTCATTCGCATAGTACGATATTTTGGACCAATTTCTGGTGCCAGTTATGATATTTATTTCACGTCAGTATTATAATACTTTGAATTACGTAAGAATTTTATATGCTCTTCCAGTTTTAACACGCAAACAGAAACATTTACGGTCATTCACGCGTAAACTTGCTATTTCAGCAAATTAATGATTTGAGTGCGTTGTTAATTTTCCTATCAAACTATCGAATGACATGAAGCTAATGCAATGTGATAATTTACTGAACAAATTTAGCTCTAATACTCATATCTAACTGGCGGGATCATACGAATGGCTACTTTGTTCATTTCTTGAAATTAGTGCATTATGAATAATATCTCTCAAGTTCAACCCCAAAGATAGCTATTCCTCGATTTGCTAGATGATGGCGAATCATTTGTTCCGTATTATAGTTAAGTAGTTCATAGAGCCTAGGCTGGTAAGGTGCTCGCGTGGCCTAGCTGGTACAGACGTGGACTACGACGCGGAGGATCTGCGTTCGATTCTCGGAGCTGCCGTCGACGTTTTCAGATAGTTCATAGCGGTGAGTAGTATGATGTGAATATTTCCTCGATAATTGAATTTGTTGGTTTCTAAATACCGTTGCTAATGTCAATACGATATGAAAGTCAAAAACCAATGCCCATACAACCTGTCATTGCAAGAGAAAAGTCTAGACGATATCAGAGAGAAGGAAAAATTTTTTTAAATCGTTGACAAACGGTAACGTGTAACTGCCGCGTACACTGCCAGAGCCGCCCCAGAGCAGGCGTTGGGCAGGTTTGAGCAGGCGGTGCTCAGTAAGGGCTGCGTGACGGCAGGACAGAGCACACCTGGGCAGGTACTCAGAAGTGAATTAGCGCTGCTACGCGGCTGGCGATATCGTCTCTAAAGCGGACATTTCTGCTCTATCGCGACTCTGTCGCGTCCCTACGGCGGCTCTACAGCCGGCGGCGGCCTGCTCTAATCCCTGCCCTAAATTTTAACTGGGAAGTTTGTATAACAGTTGAAATTCGTCCGTTTTCATGGAACATGGGCTAAGTCAGTGCTCATTAAACAGTATTTTACGACGTGGTGATTCGTTAACTAGAACTCATTGACATTTGGGACTACTTCTTTTGTGTGGTACTTACGAGGAGGAACGTGGATGTAGACCGGCGTCCCGGCAGCAACTTCACAAATGTAGTTGTGAGTCTCCGTGCATGTCAACGGGTCCCAGGACTCCTCATTAACTTCCGTAGAGGCTAATTAGCAAATTATTGTATTAATAGATACAAATGTTAAATTTCATGTTGCATATTTTATAATAATGACAGGTTACAGCACAAAGTCGAGAAAATGTATGCAGTTGTGTTGGGTAAAGGATTTTACACTACTTTTCTGAGGGAAATTGAAAAGTAGCCTTATGAGTAGACATAAATCAAATTTTAGTTTCGTAAATTTCTTCGGTTGGAGTGAATTTGATAAGTTAAGTAGCGAGTTCTCCAAGCTTGCTCATAACTCACTATCGATTTGAGCTGCGACGCACTTGGATTCACCCTCGGCGATGACGTCATCCTCATCTTGTTGCGACATGTGAGTGATGTTGTTGGAGTACAACGAACCATCCACCCACTTGAACGCGGTATTGTTTTGCTTAACTAAATATGAATAACGTAATTCTTGTATTAAGGTATAAAATTAGCACTTATAAAACAAAAGTGTATTGCATTTGTCTTCAAATCAATGATTTTCGTAGATTCTGCGAGTTTTTTTTGTTTCTATTCCGTACCTTTCAAAGTTCCTACTCAGTAAACCTTCAATGGTTTTGCTCAGAGGCATGAAAACACTGAAAGCTAGTCGGGAGGTAAATTATCACAAAATATGTCGTCCAATATTGAATATTTGCACATTTCGAACAAAAAATATATTGCATTAGCTTCAAAGTCAAAATTTTTGGTTGAAATAATAGACGTTTTTCGATGACTTTACATATATATATACATACATATTTATTTGACGGATTTACATATTTCTTGCAGTCAAGGCTAAATATTATATAGTCTATCTGAGAAGAAAAAAATATAAATTGTTTTTATCTAACGAAAATATATAGGATCAAATGATATCTTCAACAGCAGGGTAAGTTCTGCTCCATGGGATTGTTTGGTCGCAACGAAAAGTTTTGGCCCAGAATCAGAATACACACATCTTTATCTTAATGCTCGTAAAATATGAAACGCCACGTTATCCAGTAATAAAAACTGACATTAGGACTTAGATACGAAGGCATTTGTGGCACTTCTACGGAACAAAGCAGGTGGCGAAATGTCCAGGCTTACTCACAGTACAATCCAATCCACAATTGTTCTCCTTCAGATATTTTGCCGCGAATAAAATCATCTTCCTCTTGGGAATCCACGACGAGAAGGTGCGTGCCGATTCCCTGGCAGAGCTCGTGGGCCGTCAACCACGTGACGACGTCCACGTCGAGGCGGTTGAAGTAATAACAAGAATCTCCAAACTCCTCCCAGCCCGCAACGCAGGCTCCTGACCACGAGAAGAGGAAGAATGTTGTGTCGGTTACGAGGCTATTTATCGTATTGGAGTACAACGAACCATCCACCCACTTGAACGCGGTATTGTTTTGCTTAACTAAATATGAATAACGTAATTCTTGTATTAAGGTATAAAATTAACACTTCTAAAACAAAAGTGTATTGCATTTGTCTTCAAATAAATGATTTTCGTAGATTCTGCGAGTTTATTTTGTTTCTATTCCGTACCTTTCAAAGTTCATACTCAGTAAACCTTCAATGGTGTCGCTTAGAGGCATGAAAACACTGAAAGCTAGTCGGGAGGTAAATTATCACAAAATATGTTTTCCAATATTGAATGTTTGCACATTTCGAACAAAAAATATATTGCATTAGCTTCAAAGTCGAAATTTTTGGTTGAAATAATAGACAATTTTCGATGACTTTACATATATACATACACACATATTTATTTGACGGATTTACATATTTCTTGCAGTCAAGGCTAAATATAATATAGTCTATCTGAGAAGAAAAAAATACGAATTGTTTTTATCTTACGAAAATACATAGGATCAAATGATATCTTCAACATCAGGGTAAGTTCTGCTCCATGGGATTGTTTGGCCGCAACGAAAAGCTTCGGCCCAGAATCAGGATACACTTCTTTATCTTAATGCTCGTATATGTGAAACGCCACGTTATCCAGTAATAAAAACTGACATTAGGATTTTGATACGAAGGCATTTGCGGCACTTTTACAGAACGAAGCAGGTGGCGAAATGTCCAGGCTTACTCACAGTACAATCCAATCCACAATTGTTCTCCTTCAGATATTTTGCCGCGAATAAAATCATCTTCCTCTTGGGAATCCACGACGAGAAGGTGCGTGCCGATTCCCTGGCAGAGCTCGTGGGCCGTCAACCACGTGACGACGTCCACGTCGAGGCGGTTGAAGTAATAACAAGAATCTCCAAACTCCTCCCAGCCCGCAACGCAGGCTCCTGACCACGAGAAGAGGAAGAATGTTGTGTCGGTTACGAGGCTATTTATCGTGGGTACCACCGCTTAGTGAGACTCAAACTAACCGCTTGGTACCACCGCTTAGTGAGACTCAAACTAACCGCTTAGGGTACCACCGCTCAGCTAGTGCGACTCAAATTAACCCGCTTAGCAGCACCATTAAGTAGGCTGACATTTAACCCAATTGATGTTTAGCCTTCAACCCTTATAAAATTGATTCAATCTGTTTACCACATTCAATAAATGGCCATGCCGGAAAACAAACTAATCAACTCACCTAACCTGTAAATTTATCACACCCGAAAACTCACCATCTCAGCTAGTCAATATATCGTGCTTGTTATCTTCACACATACGCAGTTTAGGAACCTTAGGACTATATACACATTTATTGGGGACAATAAGCTTATTTTAATCTAATTAAAACAGATATATTAGTAGTGGATTCTTCTGGTGACTAAATAAACGACGACGCTTTTGCGACTACTGTCTTAAGGATTTCAATACATTCTGACTAATTTAGCCTCTAAAAAAGTTAAACTCTTGACCATTTAACCCGGTGGTCAATTGCTCATTCGTAACAGGCGATAGCCGTAGAATTTCTTTTAACACCCCCTCGATCTGAACACCCGCCTTGCTCAACAACAGTAGGACTAATTTAAGACATGCTACATGATTGACCATTATTCTTTATTAGATGCAAATTGTTTAGATGCTATTTTAAGCTCACAATATATTCCATTCAACTAAATATATTCTGAGTTCGTGGAGGAAATCTGTTTACAGAATTTACACACAAGGTGAATAAATAGAGTACAATGGACATCAAACTTCAAACGAATTATTGAACTGCATCGAGGTGATGAGCAGGATGGAGAATAATGAGAGAAATTACTCAGAAGTTAACATCACAAATAAATTGGAAATTTACCTGTTTAAAATGATAAAAAATCGAGGAAATATACTAATAATTCAAATTTTGAGTGATTCAATATATTATAGTTACCTTATGGCTCTCGTGGCTTAATGGATGAATTTTTTTAAACCAATTTATGAAGGAACTTGTATATCAAATCTCAGCTAAACATTGGTGCATGATTTCTATTGCAGCTTCGTAAAACAAAATTTCTAAGTAGGACTTCAAAGTGAATCATCATCGTTAACTAATGTAATAAATAAGATAGATATGAGATATGACTTTTTCAAGTTTTGGTATAGACTAAGATGCTCATCCCAACGGATGGAACTTGAATGCAAGCAAATCCAAGTAAATACTTCAATTTCATGAAACCATTACAAAATGACGCAATAGGAAAACTTGTGGTGTACTTCCCCATAAGAGTTGAGCATCCTCCGTCTGAAGATCCAATGCAAACAGGAGTTCAAATAACCCACGCAAGCAGCTTCAAAAATGGTCAGAAGCAATACTTCAAAAATATTAGTAATAAATGATAATGTCTTATTTCAGGTCAATAACCAATTTCGGTCATATAACCGAAATTGGAAAATATAACACTGTTGGAGAATTTTCAATATAACAGATGTTCAAGTTGCATGTTGCTGGTGTTTTAGACAAACAAGAATACTGATATGGCAAATGAAATACGAATGATGTACCGCGGAGGCATAAATGATAATTGTGGATACTGACAGAGGTAAAATTCTGAACAAGAATGGTGTAGCAAAAATATAAAAAATTCAAGGTAAGTTATCTGGACGACTTCGAATTAAAGAATGTATAATGTGATTTTAGGCTTAGAGAAGTATTTATAAGACAAACTTATTTACAATCTTTCTTTTAAAAATTAATACTTATGTACCGTACAATTCATAAATAAATGATTGGATATTCTCCGTGCATACTGTATTTGCCCTTCGGCTTGGAAAAATAATTTCATCAAGTTTAGATTGGAATAAAGACTATCGTCATTTAAGGCAGCATGTGGATCGAAAATTTCGTGAAGAAAAATTTTTAACTGAAATGGGATCATTAATAGCATATGTTCAAAGAGAGGTGATGCTAAATTCCAGTGCCAGCTTACAGTTAATGATTGAAGGTAAAAAATCAAATTATCTAAATGAAAGTTTGAAAGATTTACATCAACCGGACACAAAAATTTAGGATAAAAATTATGAGCGACTCATTGTTGTTCCTGAATGACCTAGTCCCTCGTTGATTGTAAGCGTTCATCGGTCCATTTGAAGTATATGGAAAAAAAACAAACCAGCAAAAATATTCTCTTCAAATCTCCAAACAAAAAAAAAATATAACATTTTCGTCAAGCAATTCGGCGATGTCGAGCAGTAATTGTTGTTAAAGGAGGCAAATCTGATTATTGAAATGTTTTAAATTAAATACACTTTCCTCACAGTCAATTTACGTAGTACAAGCTAAATATTATCCACAATTAAAATTGTTTTCATTCTCTTATCGGAATCTGAGTGTTATGGAATCCATATATTCCACTTTACGCTTGCTTTATTAAGGGGAGCGTCTTGGTCCAAAATCGGAACTTTCGGCTTTTCCGCTTTTTATGCTCATCTTAAAGCTTACATTCTGCTGCGTCTAACGATACCAAAAGCATCTCTGTACGTTGATTCATGCGTTCATGGCAGATCGCGAAAGAGTTACCCTGCGTGAACCCTTTAACAAATACCTGCCTAAGGAAATTCGAGCCAGGCACATATATTAGAGTGCTCTCTCAGGCCTCAGCCTCGGGCTTCAGTTATACTCGAGCTGTCATGGGGTGGGTGTTCATGCCGTCGTTCACTGCATCGATGACTCGCTTCAGAGTGAACTAACACGTAACTTGAGTATCTTGGCTACGAGAAATATCTTTATATAACGCGCGCGCCGTCAGAGGATGTTTTTTAGCTGTCCTGAAAACCTCCAACCGCTCTCACTGCAAACCTATCTCCTCCTAGAGTTTTACAGCTACAGCAATGAGACATATACCATTGGATTTGCAACAAAAAGATCTACAAATTTGCGCAATCCTTTTTCTAATTTCGTTATAGTTAGGATTTTATTTTTGCAAAAAGGGGGGTTGGGGGGGATGTAATCGAAAACTTTCCGAAAAATTTACGAAAAATGCTCCCAGACCCACAAAAAGGAGAATTTGCAAAAAAAACCCTGCGCAAATTTGTATATATGGCCTTTACGCATCGAATGATATGTGTTTCGATGTCGTAGCTTGAAAATCCTAGGAGGAGATAAATTCCTACAGTACCCCCTTTTTTGTCGTTTTCTAAGAATTGCTTGTTGTCTTTCATTTTTTTCGAAAAATTTACATGAACAAAAAAGTCTTAGAATTTCGTTTTCCTTCGAAGTGATGGGTCCCTAAATAAAAAAGTTTCTTTCGGACCAAGACGCTCCCGTCAAGATTTTACAGGATGAGGTAAAATTCTTTGGGAAAAAGTTTTCTGCAATATGGCGAACCATGTATGACATTTCACCACACATGTTTGAATGACGTGATTGAAACATCACACAATTCACCTGTTGGGCGTTCACAAACGAAAATATGGTCGTTAACTGCATTCTCTGTCAACCATTGGCCACTTGCATCTTCGGCATCGACCACTGCACTAGCTGTTCCGCCCATGGATCTGAAAATTTAAGAAATTCGAATAACAACAAGTCAGAAGTGAAAAGTGAATGTTTTGTACGTGAACTAGAGGTTCAGCGGGGAAATAGTGACGTTAATTCTTTCCTACGCTTGAGAAGACTTGTAGCTTGCATGTTTAGTCTAAATTTCGAAATTCTTCCACGACAATTTGAAGGTATCGAACACGATCAGACGTGGAGTGAGCTACTAGTTCTCGACCGAAAATCGAATAACTAGAAAAGGCTTTACCGACAGGGCAGTCATGAAAGTACAATCGTCAACCTGCTTATATCTGTTGTTCGTAGGAATTATACCCCAATCAAATGAATAAACGCAACTGTACGTGGGACTGACCAGACGACAAAAATTGGCAGCGAAAAAGTTGCAATATTTCTACGAACGAGTGTCTGATATGATATACATTTAGCATAAATTAACAATATAATTTACAATTCCACAATAGAGCTCTGTTCGTTATCCTCAAGTACCGTATGCAAGTGGGTACTGATTCATTTATATTTCTTGTGAAACAAAGTGTATTTTCGAGAACAATTAAATCAACAAAATACATAACCTTTGCAAGACTATGTTTTTAATATATGATGATGCAATTTGCTGTTTTTGTTTTTATGTCAACTGTATTTGTGATGAAGGTATTTATCCGAAGATTATTCATCCGAAAGGATTTATCCGAAGATTATTTATCCGACAGGATTTATCCGAAGATTACCCTGAAATAAATCGGTGCGTAAAGGCCCGTTTCCAGTATGAGACTCTGCGTGACTGACGCCTGAAAAACTGGCTTTTTCAGTCCGGACTGAGGCAGTTCCGACCATCGAGACTGGCGCGACGGGTATTCAAGCCCTGTTCAATCTTTGGCTAGACTAGACTTGCGTGACAGGCAACGGCAGTGTCGCTGTGACTGCCGTTCCAGTAGGTTGTGCGTTGGGCTGACGCTCCAATAGACGCACCTTTGCCTGCCTCTTTGCTTTTTGTTTGACCATGTCACACGACGGAGAGTGGAGCAGAGATGCTACTGAAATGCTTATCTATTTATATAGATAGGCACCTTGCCTATGGCAAGTAAAAAGTTCTGTTTACAAAGATAGAGTCTTGAGAATTCAAGAATTATAAAAAATAAGGTAAGAGATGGATTAATTAGATCCATCCACGAACATCGATGAAAATAATACTTCCTAACTTCTTATTAACAGATTTTATCAGTATATTAACATAGATTCACTCGTCCGTCAATTAAAAATCTTAATTAATCTTATTGTACTTACAGTGTATGTATACTCGGTAAATAGTAAATAAACACAATAACTAATAATAGCAGTGGCATCTATGAAACACGCCACGATACCTATGGAAATCTATAGACCAAAAACCAGATATGGTTAAACGTTGTGACGTATTTATTACATTTAATTTTCTCGACATTAAAGGTATTATAAGATAATGCTGTTCCTTAATCCCTTGGTGAATGCATGTTATTACACAGATAAACTATGTTAATGAGAAGTTTGAAACCATTCTTGAGTTTTATAACTGCTATTAGGTAAATGGATCTTTGTTTCCTCCTGCTCATAGTGACAACAGCTTGTAAAGCAAGAGCGGCAGCATAATCTATCCTCAAAGGCCAGCGAGTGCGGTAGCCCAGACGGTCAGTCTCAGTCCCATCACACGTGCGTAGAGGAAACGCGCACGCCAGTTATGCATGAGGCCCAGCCATGTGGCTTATTGGTCTCAGGCCAATCTCAATCAATCAGAATCAGTCCCGTAGTGGAAAGGGGCCTTTAGTTGCAGACATCTCAACTGGCTAAAACGCTTAATGTAGCTTAACGAATCATTCCGAAACTTCGTTCGCTATTTTCTCAACAGTTCGTTCGCCGTTTTCTCTAATTTTCGCTCAGCCACAGACAGCCACTGCTGCTAGGCTGATGACATCATGGCAGGACCAATAAGGAAAGCCGAAAATTTACATGCAAGTTCGAATTTAATAGTTAACAAAAATTGATAATAGCTCAAATCAACTTTATAATAGTGAAAATATAACTAGTTGAATATATCATGCAATAGTGATTAAACACGTGTACGACATTCACATGCTTTATAGTTTTCATCGTTGGTGTTTTGTTGCCTCATTCACCATTCATTGAAAAGTCATATTGGTTATGAAACATACCGCAGTTCGATTACAGTGTGTGTTACTGGTGAGCCAGGTAAAAGATCATCGACAGTTAATTCAAACTTATTCCTTATTTCTAATAATGTATATAAAAAGTGTGCCTAAAGATTAACCTGGAGCTAATCATATCATAGACATGTTTTTAGCAAAATAAGTTACATAACAATTCTATTTCTACCTATCCCAAATAAAGTCAAGTATTAATTATTGGCGGTGCGAGGAATGCTTAAACACCAAAACCTTGTACAACGTCGATCAATTTTTCATGCTACCAGTAATGCAATCCCGTGATAGCACGCGACCTGCAAGTTGTGATGGTATGTATATGATGGAGATTCTAAACTTTCCAAAAGTTTAATATTGTTCCTTCTCAAAAGAATAACAGAAATAAATGATATCTAGAAAATGTAGGCACATGAGTGCCTTTTCAATCATGATGAAGAAAGTTAGGTTAAATGGGTTATTTTTTTTTGCAATGCATACGCGCTACCGTGATTAAGTGGACTAAGGCTTCGCGTGGTCTGCTGCGAGCCCGGGTTCGAATCCTGCTAAGGTCGGCTATGGTTCTTCCAGCGGAGAATCGGAGGTGTGTGAATTTATAGAGTTGCAAATACTATGTCTATATCTAATTATGCAGCTAATTGGAATAATATGCTCATATAATGTAACTGTCACGATTAAACATGTATACCTAAATCTGGTCATATCTCAACATGAAGGGACACTTTCAGAGAGCTGCGTTGTGAAGAGCCATGTAGGAATTTCAATAAATATTTCATTTTATACAGCAATCGATGCCATGTATTTTCTTAGGAGTTGTTACTTCGTAATATCACAAAGGGCGCGTTAAAATCCTAGGCTATATATTGCATACGAATTATTACATTTGTATTGTGGAGTATTTAATTTGAATTTAAATTTATCTCAAACGCTTACAATATTAGCATTTGAGATATAGCAATAGTGGACGCGATGCTCATATTATGGTATTCTAGTAAAATGATGTACTTCCGGCAGTCTTTCTCGCATCCTATGCGCTATTGCCGCCGCTATGTTATATTTGGTGTTCTCCTTCACAATATTGCATGCATAGAAGCGTCGGCGGTAAGTTCACCGAGGCTTTCTTTTTTTAAGCGCTAAAAGTAGCTTTTAATTAAGCTGAGGCTGGCTGAGGGGTGTTTTAGACGCCTTCGGCAACTCATTTTGGGACAAGCCGGGATAGTCACTTTGGTGCGTAGTTTCTACGCACCGATTTGTTTCAGTGTATACTAATAAAATAAGACCATTTCCCTCTAGATATCTTACTCACTGCGGCATGCTTTTATTTTGAGCCCAGTTGGTGTATTCCGTGCTGTTGTCGCCAATCCAATAAAATTGTCCAGCATGGCCCTTAATAGTGGCAGGACAAAAACATTTAATCAAAATTCGAAGCAAGTTCATCCAAAACAACATGAATACCACCATAATGAATCGTGTCGCTATGCGTTGTTTAAACTATTAGTACTTGATTCCTGATGACCATAAATATAATCCATTTAAGAAAATGATTGTTAGGATCAGCTTATTAGTTTATGGCCATCTAGATACTATTTAAAAGTTTTATTTGTGGTGAGTAAGCCACTGAATCTCATTTGCCGTCTCATGAACTATGTACGGCTGATAAACATTAGCATCATAATCAAAGAATAGCCCAGCTTTTACTCAACAATTTCTGTCATTCCTATCCAGATGTTGTCGTGGGGCTTGAGAGCTTCATCTAAAATGAAGAACAGTTCCTCATCGTCATTGATAGTGACCTGAACTATGTACGGCTGATAAACATTAGCATCATTAATCAAAGATTAGCCCAGCTTTTACTTAACTATTTCTGTCATTCCGATCCAGACGTTGTCGTGGTGCTTGAGAGCTTCATCTAAAATGAAGAACTGTTCCTGATCGTCGTTGATGGTGACCAAGTCGCCGCTGATTTGCTGGCACATCAACTCAGCGTTCAGCCAAGAATCGCGAATGTCTGATACCTGATGGAGGACCCAGCAAGCAGCTATGAACTTAGCTTCATTTTAAAGAAATTCTACAAATATTTACCGATCTTTCTTAAGAGAATTCAATTCTTTTATTTTTTTCAGAGGCGCTACAGATCATCTTCCTTATCCTGATACGAGAGGTCTGCTAATTTTGAAATATATTGAGCAGAACCAAAGAAAGATGCAAAGCTGAATATTATTTGAAATTATAAGAAGTAACGAAGTGTTTAGAAATAGGAGTTATAAATTTTCAACATATTTTGATAGACAAATATACTTTATGAAAGCTAAAACTGTAACTAATTACTAAAATAAGTTAGTAATTTCCCCACAATATGAATGTTCTCGATTGTTCACTCGGTGAAAGCACGACGTGATGGAACAAATCTTGGCATCAATTCGAGATCCACAAAAAAAATTACCTATAAATCAGTCAAAACTGTCTTGAGAACCAAATCATCGTTGACCAGGGTAAATATTTTTTCCCTAATCATTTTGTTTGTATGTTCGATAGTTAATGACTCAACATTATTTGTACTCACTGAGTAACAGCGATTGTCGTGCATGTGCCAGCCTTCAGTGGCGTCACAAAACATTGGCTCGTCTGTAAACAACAAATAACTTGATAGCGCACAAGAATGGATGTCATAAATACACACAATTACTTAAATAATTCATACGAGCTGCATTGCAAGGACAGATTTTTCCAATGCCTCTTCCATGAAATTTTGATTTGTAAAACAATAAGAACGATGAGCTACTGTTTTTTCTAATCGCTTAATTTAGGTCTAAAACCGAGAGAAGTCTATGAGTAGATTTAAAGTTAGCAAAGAATTCTGCAACATTTTTTTATTTCAGTTCTTTTATTCAAGAATAAACAAACGAATGTTTGAGGGAAAGCAAACTTTAAATAGTCTGAAACAATTAAGAAATTATTATTCACTAAGCAGCATACTAATTTCTGAACGAAATGAATGCTTACGTATTGACAGATTTCATAAATTTATTGGTTTTGTTATTCCGCCTTTCCAGATAAATCTAAAGTCTGGGTAGGTCATTCTTAATTTGCATTAATAGGCCTATCAATAATTATAATATTATTGTTTTGAAATGTAATAGTTGTACAAACAGTTTGTTTAATTAACCTCAAGAATGTATTAAACGTATGTGTAATGAGCTCTCAGAGTTAGTTTGAACCAGACACCACGACAACTGCTTGCATGGTACCGTAATACTAATAGAGCCGAAATTTAAATGTCAATGCAATAATTTAATGTAAAGGGGTGGAACAATTAAAGAAACAAAAGTTGTGCAATTCTGACGTTCAATCCACGTGATGTTGCGAATGTCCAGTGCGCCAGTTCATAATTAAATTGGACTTGAAATTTAAGAGACAATGTCTCAAACTTGAGCAAAATCTCACGAAATTTATTATTTTAGATCGCAGACAATTTATTGTGAAATACGTGATAAATCAACGATTTAATAACACGCAATCAATTTTGAATTTGATCATAAATATATTCAACACAAATATAGGAAAATCGATCTCTAGTGCACCAATCGGGGCAAATGCGATCTAATTTCAGCGAACAATTGGACACCCATACGCCAATGATTGAAAAAAATAATTGCATATATTGTAAACAACTTGTCAGGTAAAAATTGGGGAAACAACAACCCAGTCGAAAACTTCTACCAACAAATTTCCAGGGACATCGACGGTGATTGAAACCGTCTCTGTTGCAATACTGCCATTCCTTGACGCCAATACGTTTCAGTCCTCAATTCGAAGCCTTTGCGCTTTGCTGCGTTTCAGCCCTTTTTTACAACACTTCTCTTTAACTTCACTTCTTGTTGTTTGTTTGTTTGTTTGTCTGCTACAAATCTTATAATCGATATTTAACACACTTCTACCTGTCCAATCGATCTGAAATTTTGCACACTTTTGTAAAGTTGGAGACAATGTATGATTCAAATGTCAAAATAAATTATTTAAAAAATTGGGAAAAATTTTTTTTCAATATTAAAAAAAATGAAAAAATAATTTTGTCAGCTACAAATCTTATAACGGATATTTGACACACTTTTACCTGTCTAATTGATCTGAAATTTTGCACACTTGTGTGAAGTCAGAGGCAATGCATGAATCAATTAACAGAATAAATAATTGTAAAAAATTTTATATAATAAAAAAATTTTATATATTGAAAAAATTGAAAAATTAATTTTTTATAATATTCGAAAATTAAATGAGAAATTCATTGTGCATCTGTAAGATTGGAGACACTAGATTCTTTGGAAGTGTTGTCTTTAAAAAGTAATTTTTAAACGTATATTATTCATCCTTTCAATGCCTCCAAAGTTTTAATTTTATTGAGTTTGGCTTATTAACGTTCAAGATGTATGGATTACAATCATCAAGGTTAGGGACATTAAAATTGAAAAGCGACTTGTTTAGAGTGAAGGCACAAACAATAAATTGCCTTGCTATAATCACGCCGTATCAGCATGCGTAAAAAATATACGTTTAAAAATTACTTTTTAAAGACAACACTTCTAAAGAATCCAGTGTCTCCAATGTTAAAGATGTACAATGAATTTCTCATTTTATTTTCGAAAATAAAAAAAGTAATTTTAAAAATGATTTAATGTATAAAATTTTTTCAAAATTATTTATTCTGTCAATTGATTCATGCATTGCCTCCGACTTCATACAAGTGTGCAAAATTTCAGATGAATTGGACGGAAGGAAGTGTGTCAAATATCATTTATAAGATTTGTAGCTGACAAAATTATTTTGTCAATTTTTTCAATATTGAAAAAAAAAATATTTTTCAATTTTATAAATTATTTATTCTGTCAATTGATTCATGCATTGTCTTCAACTTTACGCAAGTGTGCAAAATTTCAGATAGATTGGACAGGTAGAAGTGTGTTAAATATCGATTATAAGGTTTGTGGCAGACAAACAAACAAACAACATGCACTATCGCTGCACTAGGAGCTACAAATCTTATAAATGATATTTGACATACTTCCACCTGTCCAATTGATCTGAAATTTTGCATACTTGTGTGAAGTCGGAGGCAATGTATGAATCAATTGACAGAATGAATAATTTTGAAAAAATTTTATATATTAAAAAATTTTGGAAAGTTAATTTTTTTAATTTTCGAAAATAAAATGAGAAATTCATTGTACATCTTTAACATTGGAGACACTGGATTCTTTAGAAGTGTTGTCCTTAAAAAGTAATTTTTAAACATATAATTTTTTACTATTTTTGGCGATGCGTATTTTATGCAATAATTCGGACGGAACATTTAAGGCCACTGCCAACCATGTGATTTGATGCCCGCATGCTACCAATCCGCTTTGAGTGCGCGTGGTAAACCAGTGATTTTTTATAATCAATTCATTTTTAATTTAATCATTTACTCAAGATTTAAACCGCTGTATGATGATGCTGGTATCCACGATACTTTGTGGGTCGACCGCGTTGGCTGACAGCCGCTGCCATCGAGACGCAGCCCGGCTGAGGCGTCCATTAAACGCCAACGAGGGGCACTAAAAACGTCGTTTAAGTGGAATTCATGCACTATCGCTGCACTACTGTGCATCCAAGTTATTGGCATGCGGACGTAATTAGTGTATGGGCTAATTTTTAACTGTTTTTAAACGAATAATTCGTTATAAAATATATAAAGCAAAACAGTTTTACTGATAAGACGATGGCAGATGAAGTGGTACTGATCAGACTCATCGTGACCGAGTAGAGTCGAGTCCGTCGTAAGCACCCCGAAGTCGCCTTCCCTCGGACGCGCGTCTTCTGGACTGCAGGTGACAGACGATAAAAGCGAGGATTACTATGAAAACTCAAATGGATTTAACTGTCTGAAATGATGAAAATTTTAAGACCCCGCATCTAACATGTCCGCATGTAATGTTGATTATAGGGTAATTTCTAGGGAAATTAAATGATTTCATTATGATATGTTCTAGCCCATATCTTTCATTCAACTTATTTTACATCAAATTATGTGAAATTGCGTTTTAGTAGCGAGGTATGTGACGTATGTCACCTGCACACTCGTCTACTCGTGCGTGTACATATTATAAATTACACCAAATTAATAATTACTGGCAATCTAACTAAATTATATAGATGAGTGGAGTTTCTAACTCGTTGAAATTTCTTTTCAGCTAATGTCATCGCATTTTTTCATCTCGAAGTGATGAACTACTGCCACATATGGAACGATAATATCGTTCCGTTGGCATTGAAATACTCCGGTTCGGGAATTCCTATAAAAACTGATCAAAATAGAACAAAGTTCAAAAGATGTCTAATTCCCTAGATTTGTAATTTAACTAATTTAACTACATCATGCACATTACAAGAACTCTTGTATGAAAATAATGCCCTTCAGCAAGCAAGTCACGTAATTAATCTCTGATTTGGATTTTTATAAGAAATCCCATGCTATTATCTAATAACGATGGCTGGACACACGTTCTACACACAAATTTCATGACCCTTATATCGAAAATGCAATCATATTTTTTTCACAAAGTTAAATAACTATTAGCAATATATAATAAAACGGACTTATGTTCTAAATGTACAGACGTCTCTTACATTTTTACGCACTTCTGCGGTAGTTCAATGAGAAGTCTTAGAAGGTTATTTTTATGTCAATACGTATAATATTCTTGATCCACCTTAATTTTCAATTATCTCTAACTATACATAAGATCAGGTTTTTATTCTGTATGATATGGTTTTTTTAGTGGAGAAAATGTCTCACATGTAGTTCAGGTCGACGACATGTCCGTTGCTTGCCCAGTACCATATTTCTGCCGTCTCATTGTACCTGGCGTCTATCCAGAACTCCGAGGAGTCGCTTACAATGCCAGACTCCACGATTTGGAGCGATAGCCAGCCCTGTCAGTAAAACAATTCGAAGACATGAGTTTAGACAATTCAAACTAAATAAAATTTAGAAATGGTTCTTACTCGGTGCATTTATAAAGTTGATTGCTGTTTTGCTTCAGTTTTTGTAACGCTCATAGCCAAAGACAGTTCGCATAAAGCGCAGCAATACTGTAACGAAGTCAAGTGAACTTGGCGATTAGAAATGTTAGTCGGAATTGTAAGTCAATAGAAATTTATAGAACTCGGGCACATTTTTGGATTAACACTCGAAGGAAGTGCGTTACTAGCATAAACTAGCAATATTTTTTGATTAGTGAAAAAAATATGTCCAAATGCATTCTTCTACGGCGCTGACTATCAGAACGTAGCTAGATTCATTTCCAGTGGCTAATTTTCAATAGCCTAAAGTCTTTAAATATTTTTTGCTGCATATTTAACATTTTATAGTATGTTATCCAGTCTCATACCCGGAATTGTTATTGGAGCAAAGTCTACGTTCCAGAGACGGAACAATTTTTTCACAGTAACAAGGTCAAAATTTGCGAGAGATGTCATAATTTTAGAACTTCTCTTCATAAATTACATCTCCTGGCTATATTTCAATCATCACTGTTACTGTCAATTGATATAGCTATTTCAAAATCGTTTGCTATGAGTATTTTTGAAGAGCCTTTTAAAGTACGAGAGGTTCTGCAATATAATTTAACCCATATCATGTAAAAATGAACATGAACTGAATTAGTTCGGAGTTACTGCCTGAATTTAAGGGAGATGATGCGTCTTAATGGAACCTGACAGATACTCGTATATCAATCACCTCTTATCCTAAAATGCAGCTTGTGTCGAAGTCTTCAAAATTAACATGTTCATTAAAATGCCGGCAATGCCGATCCTCACCAGGGGCCGTATTATCAAAACTTCGTAACTTTTTGTACTTCCGACAAAAAAGTTACGTGTTACGTAGGTACACCCTAATTTTGGCATTATCAAAACATTCGTACGTAAGACTTAGCTAAAAGCGTACTATCAAAACCATCTGGCCAACTGACCAATCAGAGGCTTTGGATTTGTTTACATTCTGTGAACTTCGATGGCGGGAATCGATGCCTTCGATGGTAACGTTTCAAACTCGTGTTTACTTGTCACTTGCTTCATTGTGCCGCGATGATACATGTCTAGTCTGCTCATATATATATAGCGTACATCGATTCAAATGACCCCCTCCCTTCCCCCCATAGAGGGGGGAAGGGAGGGGGCATTTTTTAACGCATTTTTCAGATTCGGCCTTGTCTGTCCCGAACGTATCAGGTACCGAATACGCGCGCCCCACGATCGCCCCAAGCTCGACGGGTATTTCAAAAGATTCTCTTTCGGCGCTTATTTCGCTCCGGCAACCGGAACCTAAAGCGGACATAGAGCTTCTAATTTACACCGCAAAAAGAATTTGGGGCGACCCTGAGCCAGCGGCTGACAGGCATCCAAATTTTGATAGGGTATAGACTATCGAATGCCGTCTGTCGGTATTGAGTCGGTATTGCTCCTTGTTGGCCCAGGAAAAGCCGTTCTAAAATAGTTGTGAACTCTGTTTAATAAACAGCGTGAGTTGAAGAAGAAATCTGTGTACGGAGCTAAAAATTATGGTTGGCAGAGATATAAAGTACCGACTAGAAGGAATAAATGAATTGAATTTTTGAAAATGAATGAAAAAATTTGTGAAAATTTTTGAAAAAATAAATTGATTTTTTTACCAATAGCACTGTTTAGCACGATCACATATTTTGATCGTGCAAATGTTGCACGATCAAGTTGTGGAGCCATCACAAGTAGAGCCATCATTCTATGCGTGTATAATCCGCGCTGTCGGATTACTGACAAAATTCTATCACAAGTCAAGGTGTAGCTACTTGCTAGTAAATCAAAAGTTTCCTATCACTTCAGCAGACACTCTAAACTTGTGTGGAACTCCACTTACGACATCTCCGAGCAGGCGTACAGTTACGTTACGTATCTTCACGCGCAAATGTTTTGATAATACCACCTCTAGAGTTACGTCATCAAGTCAGCACTTACGCCACTCGCAAGTCGATTTTGCGTACTTACGAAGTTTTGATAATACGGCCCCAGATCCCGCGCACGCCGGGAAGACAGTACAGGGGATTTTTTCATATTTCTATTTGACCGGGCTATAAGTGTAATTTAAGCTGAACCAATCTTAAGACGGACTCCCAGTGGTTACTCGACATTTCATCAGGTTCTGATGACGTCCACATTCGTGGTATGCGATGAACATCCTGAAGCTCTTCTTAATAGCGGTTGCAGTTTCTCAAGGTGCCTTCATATTATGAACTAGAGTGTCGGGGAGCGCAGCCGTACACCACCAATTTTGTGCACCAATAAATCCTGAATCGAATGCCTTGGATCTCTCCGGACATCCACCAATCAGCCGTGAACCACTCGGCTTTGTCCTCCTCCGGCCTTGCATAAAACCTGCCTTGCACCACCAGGCCGCGGATCGCATATGACTTCCAGGCATCGTTAAGTTACGTAATTTTACGTTCACCGCATCTGAGGTTAGGTTTCAGATAGCATAGTTCTGTTCCAAAATTTATCGTCCTTCGACGAGTGGACGTTCGACCGAGGGCTGGTTCGACGCACAGCCAAGATACGGACGGCTTGAAGTGTTGAAGGCTACGTCCCGGAAGGCAGGAATCATAGAATAGAATAGAATAGAAGTGTCGGCGTGTAAGAAATAGGCCCATGGCCTGTTGCCACTTCTTGAACTTTTCGTGACTTGATTCACAAGGTGATGGTCCATTTCATCCAGGGCCGGATTATCAAAACATCGCTAAGTACACGTAGCGACTTACGTGTGGCGTAAGTGCTGATATGAAAAAGTATTATTCTTCATATCAGCGGTGCATTATTGAAACATTTGTGCGGGAAGCTACGTACAAGAAGTCGTACGTAGCTCTACGCCTGCTCGGAGGTGTCGTAAGTGGAGTTACGTAGACGTTTTGAGTGTGCCGAAGCAATATAAAACTATTGATTTAATTGCAACACGGTGAATTGTGATAGAATTTTGTCAATAATTCAACATAGGCATAATATGTGATCGTGCTAAACGGTGCTTTTTGAGGAAAAAATTTCAATTAAGTTATGCCAGCTAATTTCTTTTCCTTTTGTGCTATAATTTGCAAGCAATTCTTGATATTCGTATCTAAGAGTTTTATGATCATTCACTATAATAATATCTCATGACTTTTTGATTCAAAAGTAAGTGGAGTTTAACAAGCCAACCATTTTTCTAGCTACGTACACAAATTCCTTTCTTTCTCCGTTGATAGTTGAACTCCAATTCACAAAATGTTCTAAATTCTAGGTCGCTCTCTAAAAAGTCCTCAAATTTTGATGGGAAAAATGTAATTTTTTGCCTTGATTGCAAAAAAATTACAATCAAGGCGTTGTCATTGCTATTTAGACAACGTCTCACTCATTACTCCATATGCTCCCTAGTCAGTCAACGCAGATGACGCTGACACAATACAACCTCCTTTCATCCACGCGCACTGCGTACTGAGTCGACAGGAGCTAGGAATGGCAAATTCGAAGCTTCTGATTGGTCAGTTGGTTGGATGGTTTCGATAATACCTTTTCAGAAAAGTCTTGCGTAAGACAGTTTTGTTAATGCCAAATTTTGACTGACTTAGGCCATACGTAACTTTTTTAAACGTAAGTACGAAAAGTTACGTGTACTAAGCGAAGTTTCGTTAATCTCTGCCCAGGGCAGTGCATGGTGGTCTTCGGCAGGCGACCCGAGTGTCGCGTGTCATGGGAGCTCTCTATCTTTAATTGGCATAGATTCTGTTTTTGGGGGGGAAGCAATGCTTTCCTCATAAGTAACATCATGAGGCATAATTTTCATGTTATATGGTATCTGAATAATTAAAATTATTTAAGAAAGGAAAACACAAATGAATAAAATCGGAATCATCTTTGAGAAATTGTAATTTTTCTATGGTTTTACCTTGTTGCCAATGACGGAAAACCCCTGATTTGGGGGGCGCAAAGCCCCCGGTTTTACCCCGCGCCTCTACGCGTATTGTGCTTTGCACGAGCTCTCATTATTCTACTCACAGTACGTGCGATTGTAGAGCGAGGTAAAGTTTTCACTCTCGCAATCCCACAGCCCAAACCTCTGCTCCAATCTCGCTGGAAGTTTCACCACTAATGATCACCCTGGCGTTGCGCTGGGGCGAGCGTTGGCGCAGGCAAGTTCACCCGCGGCTGGCTTCCAGACTGCGGCGATTTCTGACTGGGAAGGAGTACTGTAGAAATCTATCTCCTCCTAGGATTTTCAAGCTACAACATCGAGATGCATATCATTCGATGCGTAAGGACCATATCTATCAATTGGTCCTTGCTGTTTTTCGAAATTCTTGTTTTTGTGGGTGGAGTGGGCATTTTTCGAAAAAATTTTGATTTCTCCCCCAACCCTTTCGAATTTCCCTCCCCTTTTCAAAATATTTTCAAAACCATAACGAAATTGAAAAAAAAAGCTACGACCAATCTCTAGATCTTTTATTTGCGAATCGAATGGCATATCTCTCATTGCTGTAACTTGAAAACTATAGGAGGAGATAGGTTTGCAGTGCCAATAAGTGTGAATGTTCAGTAGAGCGCGGCAAAGTCCCGAGCGCCTCGAAATATGTATGCATTCAAGATGGCATGGATACAAGACTAGACGTTACTGGAGCTGAAATTCAGTCAAAGATGGTGGGAAAGACTGCATGAGCACCATCCCACACGACAGCAGCCGGGTAACTAAAGATCAGCGTCTTCAGGTCGTCTATTTATGTGCCTGGCTGGTAATTTTCGTCTATATTATATGTGAAAGAACTCCCCCACCCCTAACCCTTTCGCGAACTGTCGCCAAGGCATAAATCAACGTACAGAGATGATTTTGGTGCCGTTGGATAGATAAGAATGTCAGCTTTAAGGTGAGACTAAAA